GAGAGATAAACCTCTTCCATGTGAACGTTTTGTTGAAGAACCGTAGCAGATATTGGTGAAATTTCAACGTGTGAAGCATCCCAGGACCCTGACGAGCGTCTCAGTCTGCTTCTGTGTACTTTCGGGTCAATAATGTGGCCTTTTTGGCAGATTAACTAAATGTGTGTGGCTGTTGCTGTGAGGAAAGATCAGGCTGAATTTACAATGGGCCTTAATGGAGACAGGTTGAAAGTTTTTGTCAAGTCATGCCCTCAAGAGGCATTTTGTTTAATTATTTTGCTTAATTTCTTTTCAGGAGTGTAGGGTTTGGGAATTATGGCAGGTTTAAAAAAAAAAAGATGAAGGCGAATTTCAAGCTGTCCCCCACTCTAGCTGTGACATCACGCACTCGAGCCTTAACAAGCTGCGCAATACACACTAATGTTACAATCTGAAGAAGGCCTCTTTACCAAGGTCTGAACAATGTTTAATATCTCTAAAAGTATGAATCTGATTTAAAAGTTGTGTTACACGAATAATGTCAGAAGGATGTGTAACATTTTAAAGTTGGAATGAGGTTTCTGAGTGAAAGTATGAAGGAGCAGTTAGCAGTTGAAGTCGCATGAAGATTGTTCAAGTCTGAAGAGTTTCTCCATTGACTTCCATGTTAAGAATGTGATAAATTATGGGATATATCTCGGGAAATATGAAAGTTATGAATGACAAAAGTAGTAGCAATCGATTCCCGATCGAGCTGAATGTTTTGATGTTTGAACGGAGTTTCTGCAATGTGGAATGTGGGAGCAGAAGAGGGACAAAAAAACCCGGCGGAATAAAAATAACTATAAAGAATTTGTGCGTAGCAGAACAAGTAGTTGGAATGATGTATCAGCATTCCAACTAAACGAAGCAACACGGCATTCTAAAACTATACATCAGTTGGCAGACACATGTGATGGTTACAGTTGTCAAAGCTGACATAAAGTGTCGGGAGGGTAACTGAGGTGATCTAAGATGCCGCAAGATCTCAATCTCCATTCCCTTATACAGCTTTAGTAAAGGCATTCATATAATAATGGCTCAAGGAAGAGTGATGTTTAAAAACCATTAACTGAAGGTTTGTTTCCGTAGATGAACTTGTGTTTATTTTTTATGTCGGGTGGCTGGATTTCCCACGGCGCCTGTAAATGAATAACATGGTGATTAGCGCACAGAGCTATGGTTTAATTGATCAAATAATTAATAATATACAGTGTCTTGCAAAAAAGCAGTTTAAAAATGATAAAAAGAAAAGATATGAAGCGTTATAGCGTCTTTTATAGTTCCAGGTGGGTTTTACAAAGCAGGATAGAGCAGGGGGTGGTGAATGTCTATGAGATGTATCTTGTGGCTTTATATTAGGTTGTTGTCTCATACAGTATGTTAATATAACATTTATTTAATATATGTTTGTTATTTTTGTGTAATGTTTAGTATTTTTAAACTTTACTTTTCACTGTAATATCAATCTTAGTATAACACCCTGTTTATGGTACACCCTAAATGAATGGTATATAAAAGGCCTCTCTATTGCCCCTTTCACACCAACGCAACTCCGGTTCAAGCTCCGTGCTAGAGCTTTTCTGGTTCAGAACCGGTTCTTCGGTTTAGCGCCGGCTCTTTTCACACCGCTCAGAGCCCGACTGGTGCTGCCGCTGCTGCGTCATGACGTCACAGTTTACGTCGCTGAGTTTCTCCCCAACGCCGGAGCTCACCTCACAACAACAACGGGCCGGGGACTGCGTCGGGTCGATGATCGTGTTGCTTTTAATCATACGAAGCCAGATTAAATTAAATAAGGACTTCTCCAACCTTATACTTTTCTCCAGAGTGCCGTGGTTCATTGTTTATTAATGTGTTTCAGCGGCATTTACCGACCGCTGCTGGCTGCTCTTCAACGGGAGTGTATTCTCCCGTTAGCTCCGGGTTAGCTCACACGGCTCTAAAGTATTCACTGTCTGACTGTCACACAAGCAGCTGATACATATCCCCAGTTCCCCTTAAGTGAATGTGTGTCAGTCTGAATTGACGCTGTTTGGCATCACAACGCTGTTATGAAAGTTTCTCTGGTATAACATGGGTGATGTTAGCATAGCAACCGAAGCTAAACTGACTACTTGCTAAGCCGTGTTCTACAGGCACTTTTTACCGGCGTATTTTTCATTATGATTCTACTTGTGATAGTCGGACATGACAACCTGTGCAGCCCATGTATTGATTCCATCCGATAGCTGCTATAATAACAAACAACACGTCTGCCTGCTCTCCACAATGATCAATAACAGCGAACGGATGGTCAAAGTAAGGTACAAATAAACAGAATCACACGAAGCCTGGTTAGTGTTGCCTGACTTTATAAAGCGTGTTTTTTTTTTACAAGTGTGTGGTTGCGTTCTAGTCACTTTGCTCAGCACTACTGCTTGTTACAACTTTTATTTGCCGTACTCGCCTTAACTGTTAGCTCAGGTTAATCTCGCCCCCCTCCGACGTACGCGTGACGTATGCGGTTCTTGCTTCTAGACGGACAACTTTTTGGTGCTCGAAACGAACCGGATTCCGGAGCTATGACGCTGCTCCGCTGCGGTGTGAACAGGAAAACCCGGTGCTTTTCAAGCACCAGCACCGAACCGGCCCTGAAACACCGTTGGTGTGAAAGGGGTATTTGTGCCATTGTTGGGTTAGGTTGGTTGTTAGTGGGGCATGGCAGCAGGCCCTACAGCAGTGAAGCCTTGTCAATTATTGTAAAACAAGGTTTAAAAAATGCCTTCATTTTGATTGAACCCAGCTTTGGTGTTGTGTTTTACTTGCTAACAGATGACACGTATAACAGTTTTTAATCAAGCTGCCAGTCGTATTGATTTGTATCAGCCAGGAAAATGTCCCAGAGTAAATAAATGCCAGAGAAGTAGCTCATGTGTGATTAACATCGTGTTTCAGAAATGTAAATATGATGGAACGAAACAAGACAACCTAAACATAATCTTTGTGTTCTTTCCTTAGAAATGTTGATAAGTGTTTATTGACATTTTACTTTTTATGATGAAAGAAAAGTGTTCAAATTAAAACATCTGTGTTATGGCGCATTTCCACTGCAGGGCCTGGCACGGCTTAGTACGGTATAGTTAGGCCTTGGTAGGCCAGGCTCACACTATGCTGCGTTTCCATTACAGTTTAGTAGCTGGGGCAGTAACTATAGTAACGCAGTCGTGACGTCATCTTCAATGCGAAACACAAAACCAACATCAGCCGTTAGCTGTTAGCACTCAGAGCTCACAGCTCCTCATATATGTTCAGAAACTAGACCAAAGTTAAACAAGTACAAACCACAGACTGCCTGTGTCATGGTGAATACAGTCGCTGGTTTATTTATGTCTGTATAGGCCGTTGTTGTGAGTGTGGACGGTCGGAGCATATACAACGTTAGCTTAGCCGATCTCCATTCAGAAAACACGCATTGTAAAAGGTGTTTCGCCTGCCGTCTGTCTGCAGACTTGTCAAATCATTAATTCATGGTTTTTACTAACCGGTATCAGTATGTTGTTACTTCGGCATCATTTTGAAACGTGTATTACAATTAAATCACGGTAACATATGTTCATCTTGTTGTAGTTGCCAGCGATTATCTCACTAGTTTAGCATATTCAGCCCGGTTGTTGGCCCGGAAAGAACATGGATTTTGGAGAACCAGAAAAACTGTGAAACAGTACCCGTTAGCCGGAACTACCCCTAGTGGAAACGCAACAAAAAACGGGCCGGGTTTGGCACGGCACACTTAAACCGTGCTATGCACTGCAGTGGAAATGCGCCAATAGTGTCTAAACAGTAAAAAAGGGGAGCAGGTTAGACTCTGAAACCTGTCAGGCAGATAAGGGTGGTAATTTGCAGAATCAAAAACTTTATTTGAATGTTGCAGCTACAAGAATAGAGGTTTTACAACACAGAAAAACAAAACAAAAAAGAGTTAAATTGTACTAAATAACCAATTTGAAGACATAATGGGCAGCTGCAATTTGCAGGGCATAACCGAGACTAGAGACACAAGCAGAGTTAACAAGGGCTTAATTGAGCAATAGGGGCAGGGTAAGGTGAGTTGGGATGGTCAGGAGGTGTAGTGGCAGGAAGGACAAAGTAGGTCAGCCACCTAGCCCCAGAGATACAGACACATACAGAGAACACTGACAGGAAACAAACGCAGAGAAATAACAGGAGGAAGTACTATAGATCCGAACACCTAGGTTACAAGTGGATTTAAAAACCATAGAATAAAAACAGAAAAAAAACAGCAGTCATTCAAAAACCATTAACAAAAGAGGAAAAATAATCATTAACAAAATCCATCAAACTAAGACACACAAGTTCCTCGTTACTAAAACGTGTATAATGAAGATTAAGCATTTGATGATATATATATCATCAAGACTATTTTCTTTATTCTAACATATTCTTAATTCATCAGCTTTTAGCCTACTATAATACACATCATTTTTAGCTCTGTTATGAACAAATTCCACTTTAATATGAATTCTGAAGCGAACTTGCTACTAATTCTCATGGGGTAATCACAGACTCGCTACGTTTAAGCCTACCGATTGCAGTAGGAAATGTTGCTCAAACTCAGTTTTGTCTGCATTTAAAAGACAATAGGTTAACATAAGAAGATAAAGTAATTAACCTGGTTATGAATAGTTAGTTGCTCATATCTCAAAATAACATTGTCAGAATGAGAAATACTGCTCTTACTGAGAAAAGGCTGTCATTTCCCGTCAGCTTTATCATCTGTTCAAACCTGAGGCTAAACTGGATGCAGTTGAATTGTCCATCAGTGAGCAGACACACCTTAAAGAAACATGCATGCATGTGACAGGGACATAGTTATAAAGCACGGTGAGGGGGGGAGGGGGGGGGGGGGAAGCGATGGGTGTGTCTTCGCTAGAAGACATTTAAGGCTTGTGGTTTCATCCGCAGTGGGATTTCAGCACACAGCAGGAACAGCTTCGGTGCACTGATGGCTCGCCTCTCCTTCTCAGCAGTGGGCCTCCTGTCAGTGCTGGCTTTGGTCAGTATTCACCCTGAAACTACACACATCTCTCACCTTGACACACTGTACCTTGGTTTATTGTTGAAGGGGATTCATTCTAACTTCGTACACTTAAGTAGATATGATACATGTCTACATTATAATTATTATTAAATTAAGCAGCCTGCTTGTGTACAGTAAGCCAGGTACTGACAGACAAACACAGATCATGATTTCACCGCTGATTTGTGTCTGTGGGAATGCATGAACGTTCTGGAAGAGAAACGTTGGCACTGTAGCAAAAAACATTTTCTAGGGTGTTATTCGTGGGACATTAGTGTTGCGACATTTAAAATTCTGATATGAGTTTACAAGCACACGAAGAGTTTTTATTAGGGGCTTGTCTTTCTCTCTTTGACCTTTTCTCTGTTAATTACCACCTCTTTCTAGTCTTGTAAGGCTTTCAGCAAAAATTACAAGAAACTATGGCCCATTTACAAACCGAGCCTTACGCTCCGTCTGTGGTCACACTTAAAGCTGAATGAGGGTCCCTTCTTTCAGGTGGAGGGTGTAAATACAGCAGCAAGCTTTGGGATAAACTCCCCTTTCTTTGGCAAAAATGTCTTACATTTCTGTAACAACGCTTTATAATCGGCATCAATCAGATACAAAATAATGAATAATAATTATGATCTCCAAACTACAAGTTGCATTTCTTTTTTTGTAAAGATCTTTTTTTTTCAGAATCCGGTTTATTGCCAGGTATGTTTACACATACAGGGAGTTTGCTTTGGTATCTGGTGGTGCAAACTTAAAACATCTAAAAAAACAAGTTGCAATGTATTTAAAAAAAATTATATTATTAAATATATATAAGGATAATAAAAAATAAGTATTTTTAAGAAACAATTTAGCATCAGAAAAGGATGCTAAAGACAAGTATTTACACCATATTTAAATTGAACTATACAAATAACCTTAAAAGGTAAAAAAATACAAAAACAAACACTTAAGACAACGAGTATGGAAAACTACAGTGTATTATATTCTAAAGTGGAGGGCTGTGCAGACGTGTGCAAAAAGTGGTCAGAGTACAAAAAAAAGTACATGGTGTGCATTAATGTAATGCATAATGTTTTTCGGGTGGATAAGAGGTCAGTGTCAGTGTGGGTCCCGGGCCTTGTTGATGATCCATAAATCTGATGTTTACGGATTGCTTGTTTTTTGATAAACTAGTTCAATGCCGTTGATCACGGCATTGAACTAGTTTATCATTAACGACTAATGTCATTAAATCAGGAGGTGCACAGTTGTCTATCGTTGGCGTAGCTATACAAATTATCTTTTGTTCTCTCACATAGAGACTGAACACAGGTGTACAAAGTATTTCCAGAACATTCCAACCTGTATTGTGTAATCGCTCATGTGTAAAGTCAGCTGTTTTTGGAATAACTCCAATTTAATCATATACACCCTGAGAAGTTCTTCTAAACATATCAGTACAGTAACTGCAGAAATCCACATATTGTTTTGAATGTTTTCACAGTTTGGGGAGAAATTGAAACATTGCATAATGTGTTTGGCAGGTGGCGGAATGTGAATAGGAAAAGGGTTGTTGGGCATTACAAATAATGTTGTCCTTGTTTCAGACCTCGTTTTTGCTGACTATACGAAGAGTTTTGACAGTTTCATTTTCGCCTGTTAACGGAGAAAAAACTGGAAAGCCTATTCAATTTACGTCTGCTGTTTGCTTTCAGGTGCTCAGTGCTGAGGCAAGAGGGACAAGGCCAAATATCCTGATGAGGAAGAAGAGGTGGTGGATCCCTCCTCCTGTTCAGCTCATGGAAAACATTGACCACAGCAATAAGGAGTATATTGCCAAGGTTATTTTGCTTATTTTCATTGAAGTCTCATTTCGCAGAATTAGCATATTTAGGCATCTTAGTTTATCAAGGATGCTGGCAGAGTGCCCAAATAGATGAGCTTCAAAGTTAGAACAAATAAATAAATAACTGTTATCTGTCACGCCATTGATGCTGTGCTAATATGCCTGCAGCAAATCAACCTGTTTCAACTGGTTGGACTCCTCAGCTGTGCTGCTATAGAGGAATTTGGCCTTGTTCTGTAGTACAGGCTATTATTTAGCACAAAAGAAGTGCTGTTTCAACGGTGGTAATTTACCAAAAAACTCTGCAGAGATAAGAAACTGTGAAAGGCTTAAGAAAGTGTACCATAAGACTGTGGTCTGTGTGAGGGAAATTGTAAATGTATTAGTACAGATGTAGCAGCTTATTTAGGACAGTTTGAAACGCGAGGGTCGTGGTCGGCCCGTGAACGGCCCGTGAAAGGCCAGTGATGAAGAGCCTGCCCCCAGTCTGACTTGAGACCGCCCCCGTGATAAATAAATGTAATTATTGTGAAGCCAGCTGCAATGGATCATTGATCCACCAGGGGGTGCAGTGGGGTTCCACACTGGAGCTCATGTGAAATCAACTTCGATACAGTAAGCTGGATGTACAGTATGTCTGGTACTACTGTATAGCGGGTCTTTGTTAAGATCCATATGTCACGGATAGGATCATAGTCTGTGCTAAATAAGACATGTAATCATTTACAAAACATCACCATGTTGTTATTTAACAAAATAATGTTGTTTAGTCGAAAAAAACTAACGAGAGGAAATGCAGCCAGCTCTCGATTTTTAATCCTAATTTAATCATCATCTTCACCACGATCATTTATGTTTATGTTCGCCGAATTTACATGAAATCACTGACAAATATGAATATTCTGTATTCAACTTCATTAAAACGATCTTGATCCCTGGGTGTTATTTTTCCCCACAATGACCAAGTCGCTGCAAATGATCCCGCTTATTACATGGCCACATTCTCAACAAAGTAACGACATGACTCCCAATCTTAATTGAAATGCTTTTATGGATTTAGAAAATGTTTTTATTGATTTAAAAAATAGTTGTATTGATTTAAATTGACATGCATTCGCTAAGAGAAATAGTCACTAGACACTTGACACAGTGGCTTTTGGCAAAGCAGAAAAAGAACACTCAAACCGAGAGATGAGTTATTGTTATTACAACGTGACTTCACTATTATTTACTTAATAATACAATACACTATATAATATATGTGACCCGCTCTAACGAAATCAGTCGGAAGTCGCAACGGCTAATTTCAAAATAAACGTGGATTTGCGTAAAAAACAATTTTTTCGGGTTCGGGTGTTTTGTTTGATTTTAAATAAACAAAGTCTTGGCTTTCAGAATATGAAACTTTTATTTCCAAAATCACACGATAAATACATTTGTGAAGCTTGTAAAGGGAAGATGACAGGCACCTCTCACTCGCAATCTGCTCTTCCGCAGCGCCGCCCCCCTCCCTCCTGCTGAAATTATGAATGTAATGGCGCGTTTCCACTACACGGCCTCGCTCGGCCCCGCTCGGTATGGCTGGGCCTCGTTAGGACTGGCTCACTTTATGGCGCATTGCCATTACAGTTTAGGAACTGGGGTAGTATCTATAGTAACGCAGTGTAGGCGGAGCCGTGACGTGATCTTCAGAGAACCCCAGAAAAACAACACAGCCGTTAGCTGTTAGCCCTCAGAGCTCACAGCTCCTCATATATGTCCAGAAACTAGACAAAAGTTAAACAAGTACAAACCACAGACTGCCTGTGTCATGGTGAATACAGTCGCTGCTTTATTTATGTCTGTATAGGCCGTTGTTGTGAGTGTGGACAGTCGGAGCATATACTGCGTTAGCTTAGCCAATCTCCATTTAGAAAACAAGCATTTTAAAAGGTTTTTCCCCTGCCGTCTGTCTGCAGACTTGACAAAGCATTAATTCATGGTTTGTACTAACCGGTATCAGTATGTTGTTACTTCGGCATCATTTTGAAACGTGTATTACAATTAAATCACGGTCAAATATGTCCATCTTGTTGTAGTTGTAGCCCCCTTGCCAGCGATGCTCTCTCTAGTTTAGCATACTCAGCCCGACTCAGCCTCGTTGTCTCTGGTCCTAGACCCGCGATTTTATGAGGCCAGAAAAACTGTGAATTAGGACCCGCCGGCCGGTACTAGGCCAAGTGGAAACGAAACCAAAGACGGGCCGCTGACGTCACAGCCCTCTTAAACCGTGCTCCGCGCTGTAGTGGAAACGCGCCATAAGGCATATAGTAATCATAGATAACACGGCAGGGTCCGTTAGTTTGTTTTCATCTGATTTCAAATAAACAAAGTCTTGGCTTTCAGAATATTAAACTTGTTTCGGCAAATTTAGATGATAAATACAACTATGAAGCTTGTAACGGCATAATTACAAGCGGAGAACGGAGTAATTTAACGTTACAGCAGGCATAACAACAGCCGGTGTTTATTTTATTATTATATATAGTCGTTTTTCATTTGTTTTAAAGCTCAATAAGGAAGATTTAAACTTTAAAACACGTTGACCGGCGAAAAACTCTGCCCGGTTCCCTCGGCCCCCACCACGTTGAATAAACAGAAGGCTGCTTTTGTGGAGGAAGTTACAGCGCTACGTACAGGCTCGGCATATGCAGCTTTTTCCAGCGGTATCCATAAATCTCTTAATTTTGACCTCAAAGTGCACCAGATTGATGCATTTAACTTCAATATAAAGAAAAACATCTTCTGTTGTAACAACAATAACATTATAAATAGTAACATAGCTGAACATGGTATTGCACATTTAGCTTTCAGTGTTACTGACCTGAGATGTTTTTATTACATGAATTAAGGTGACTGAGGCTTTTTAACATAGACTTTTCAGTGTCCCACATTTTGCACAGAACTGTCCCACATTAGGAAATGCAGATTGTCTGAGACAACTTGGCACTAAGAGTAGGCTACTGTCTACCATTTCTTTTATGAGTGTAATATCTGCATTTTCTATTTTGGTTTGATTAGGACACATCCTGGGGATTGTGTTTACAAACATTGACCATACCGTTCACCATCCCCCACCCCCCTACTGTATGTTGATTTTTGACTTTGTTTGCCTACATGTAAATGGGTGGCATTTAGTACCTACCCCCCTCTGAGTGAATACCTGTTGACTTCACATCTTGTCACAAACCTTTTGGAAGACAAGACTGACCCAAGATACCTTGGTTTGAATTGGAGAAGGGCAATGGTTATCGATGGTGCTTTTAAAGCCTATTGTATACTAACTGTGTGATTTATATTGCTTTTCAAATGCATATAGGCCACTATTTACACTGCTCTTCCCGTCAAGAATATGAATAGAACTTAGTTAGATCGCTTCACATTGAGGGGAAGAGGCATTTTCCCATTGGTCCCAGTCCAGTTGGTTCTTTTCACCATTCTCCCATATGTTACAAATGGCGTTATGAAAATATTAGCAGCATAGATCTCAGGGCGATGCTGTCCCTTAAAAAAGCTGTCCTGATAAAAATGTTCCTCTCGCTCTGAGGAAACTGCCCTCGTGGGTTCATCAGGTGTGGCCGCCGACCCTGGAGTGACCACTGGCACTGGAATGACCGGTGGCAATGGTGTTTTTATTTATTTATTCATTTATTTAACAGGGACAGTGCACATTAATGAACATTTCTGTAAATGTGCCAGAGTTAGCCAAGAGGCTATTTTTCATCTGTAGTTAGTTAGATTTTAAAAGTCAATCTAAAACACATTTCATTTTAAACAAGTAAATACAATACATTTAAAACATGCAACATACATGACTGGGATACTTAAATAAAACAATTTAAAATACAGAACATTAAAACAAAACAAATAAAACAAAACAAAAGAACATGTTAAAACATGTTAAAACACAGGCAGTGGGTTGGTTGTAAGGAGCAGAAGATTGGGTCAGTGTTGGCAGAGCGTCTCCCCATCCCATTCAAATTCTTGACTGAAAGAGCCTACAGTACATGTAAATGGATAGCATTGCCTATATGCATTTGAAAATAATTAGTACCCCCCTCTGAGTGACTACGTGTTGAGTTCACATCTTGACTTTACTTCCTGATTTTTGGAGGACAAGACTAACCCAAAATACCTGTACATAGTGGAAAGTGAAATTGACATTGTCAAATTTAATAAAAATACAAAATAATATTCACATTTGGGAACCGATTGGAAACATAGGACTCAATCTTTTGCTTCACATTGAGGGGAAGAGGCATTTTCCCATTGGTCCCAGTCCAGTTGGTTCTTTTCACCATTCTCCCATATGTTACAAATGGCTGTCTAGCCCTGTTTGTTTTTTTGACCTTTCAGATGTTGTTGTATAGCCTCTGGAGCAGCAATGAAAGAGTTTTAAAAATGTTTACGTTTTGGTAAGTTTTTAGGGAAATGTTGTAATATTGCAACGTTGGCCTTAGGTGGGAGCAGAATTTCTGTATTTCTACTCACATTGTCTGAATAAATATATTGAACAACTAAGGGTTAATTTGCAGGATTGATTGCTTCCTTAGCCCTATATCAGTATATAGCATGAATAATAATCACACATCAGTCATATTTGTTATGAATAATCATTTATCATTTATTAAATAGTAAGTCGCTTTGGATAAAAGCGTCAGCTAAATGCAATTTACTCAGGATTTTTTTACCAAGTGTTTTTATTGCTCTTGGGGCATTAAAAACAAGATTTTAACTTTAGTTTTTTATATAATATCTGCATTTTCTCTTTTGAAAAACAAAGTCTTAGTTTGGCCATAGTTATTTAATATATAAAGACTATATATTATTGAATTACAAGATTAGATATACTTAATTTGATCTAAAATATTGATGTGTTCAAATGCTCTTTTAAACAAAACTGAAAGTCCATGAAAAGTTGTCTTCCTGTTTTTGTGAATGAAGCGCCATCTCCTGGTTAAATCCTGAAATTGAAAATCTGGCAACGCCCTCTTGGAAAATAGTGGGAGGGCTTAACATTCCTAGATACTGGTCTTTGGCAGGTCTTAGGCAGGTAACTGGCAGGTAGCAGGCAGGAAGCTGTAAGCTGGAGTCTGAAATAAGCTGCTCCATCTGTAAGTGAAGACACGTCTGCAGCAGTAATTTATGACTATATATTTTATAGGAATACTTGAATAGACTTTCTCCTGTAAGGAACTTTGGTAAAAAAACAAGGTTAAACTTAACGTCCTGCAACACAATAGTGGACTGCATTTTGAAATTCTGTTACAGTTTCAATCAACTCACTTTACTATTTAAGATTACATTAAGCTGGATATGAATGTTATTGTCCTGAATTAAATAATGCAAGATTCTTAATAGAACTCTGGTCTTAAAGCTTGGGTTGGCGTCTCCTTCATTGCAATGGCTGAAGATGTTATTTTGGTTCAAGAGTAGCCAAAACCATCACTTTAATCAAACACTAAATTAGCAATTGTACACAATTCCTTGAATCCTCTGTCTATGTTTTGTTGTCAGATTCGCTCTGATGCAAACGAACGTGAGATGGTGGAGTATTTTCTCTCTGGAAAGGGAGCTGACGAAGAGCCCTTCCATGTCTTTGTAGTGGACCGAAATACGGGGTTTGTACGCGTCACTGGTACTCTGGACCGGGAGACAATTCCAGTCTACAATGTAAGTCTTTCTTCAAATGGATTTAAATGAAAGACTGGAGACTAGAGAGAAAATAATACTCCAGTTGCTTCAGTCACAAAGCTTTACTGAATTTCAAAAAGCTTCCCCTCATGCATATTTGTGGATCTTGGGAACAAGATATTTTTTAAGTTTTGCGAGAGTAATTTGAAAATGATATTGATCAAACCATAACGATAACAATGTTACATACAGTATAAATGGAGTTAGCCAGTTGTTTTAAAAAGAGCGTGTTACTTGGCTTAAACTCATAAGTAAGGTGATATGGAAATTCTTTGAACATTGTAAAAAAGGAAGGCTACGGCACATCCCCATGCAGAAGAACATCTGCCTGATATTTGGGAATGGCATTGAAATAGATTTAACTGTGAAAAAAACTAAAAGTAAATGTTTTTTTCTTGTTTAAGGCTTCTCCGTACATAAGAAACGTTTTAGTTCAGCCAAAGCTTAAGTCACACTTGCCTAAGCTGACTGGCACCTCTTTCACACTGCTGCGCTTTTGTATTAAATATATTAAAACGTTTGGGTTGTTGTGGGGTATACTGTATGTGTAGGAGCCAAATTGCATGTGTAGTTATTGTTGATTATTGATATTTGTATCTTTATTTGTTTACACCACACACCATTGTGATTAGTCACTTCCGGCTATTGTCACGTGGGTGTGGTTTAGGGTATTTAGTCCACCTGTTGGCTGCCGGGCTGGTGTGATAGACAAAGAGGGTGAATTGGTTCTGATACCTTTTTTAGACTGTATGGTCTTGCTGTAATTGTTTGTTTATTTCAGTTATTAAATTGGATGGAACAACATCTTCAGTACACACAGCTCATTGGGAACAAGTCACAAATAAGAACCAAACTTAGCCTCAGAGCGACTTCATTCAATGGGAGTTTTGTCGCTACAGTATGTAAACAAGTGCGCTTTCCAAAATGGTCTTTTCTCACAGACAATAAAAGACACACACACAGAGACACACGTTTTGAGGTACCTATTCTCTCTCCTGGGTTACAGTCACAGTTTTAAACGTTTAGTTAATGTTGTAAATGGTAAAAAAACAAAAACCTGTATGTCAGCTCTGGTAAATCAAGGGGATTGAACAACGGCCTCCGATGTGAACGTTTGCGTTTTTTTAACCTCTCCCTCCACCTAGACCCCGTACACCCCCTTATATACCCCACCTTATTTAGAAATGTAAGGTTTGTTTGTCAAGTGGGTGTCTGTATTACATCTTAAAATATCAATAGTGAAATGTTTCTTCATGTTACTCATGCAGCTATTAGGGGCAGCTAAATACAGAAACGGATCGCTTGCAGATGAAAAGGTCACACTGACAGTTGAAGTCCTGGACCAGAATGACAACCCTCCTTATATTGAGGCCCAAGATGGATACATCCCAGAGTTTTGCAAAAAAGGTATTGTAACATTTTTAACACAATAACAGCCTGCTGCTGTGTGAGAATGATAGAGCGCCAGTATTAACCTCTAAAAAAGGTTTTTATTCAAATGTAACCAGAATAATATTTATTATTTAGTTCATTTATTAATAATTCAACAACCTAACAATAAGGCATCCAAAGGCAAACACTGTATGTGAATACTAGCTGTGAACAGATTCTCTGAAATGTTATGGTTTGTGCTATGATTTGCTGCAGGAAGCGTTGTTATGCAGATCCAAGGGAAAGATAAGGACAAACCTGGAACTGATAACAGTGAGATTGCCTACAGCATCGTGAGTCAGGAGCCCGCAGGCACCGGTCACATGTTTGCGATAGACAGTAAGACGGGCCAACTGTACGTCAAAGAGGAAACCCTGGACAGAGAGGTGAGGCTTCTGGTCATTGTATATCAAACACATCTCACATATGTTGCAGACTTTAGCGCAAACTAATGCTGAAAGTTTAAGATTGCTGTAGATTAGTTCAGTTCAGTGATCAGTTAAAAAAGTATATAATAATAATATTAACTTGGTAAGGAAATCAGGACCCTCCATGTATAAAGAAGGGGAGGCAGGTTTAAAAGTAAAAACATAGAGCATGCTTTATTGGCCCGGGTTTACATGGGCGGGTGAAGGGTCTCTGGAAGAGGGATTCGGGGGGAAGTGACCTGGAAACCTTGAAGGGTAGCTGGACATGGGCATGGGACCTCTGGCTTACACCATGGGATATGGGCTGGGGGAGGCCGAGGGATCTTAGGCAGGAGCCTGGGGAAGGTGTAGTAGCGGAGCTGGGGACCACAGGCGAGCCACCTGAGGGCGGAGGCCACAGCAGAGTTTGATTGAGCAGATAGCGGGAGAGTGATTTCTTACTTATGCCAGGGAGAACGAAATAACAGTGATTTAATAAAGTGTTTAATACATAATGTTCAATAAAGTGTTTAACCTGTTAAGCCCGAGAGACCCCGGTACCGGGGCACTGCCGCAACATCTTGCAGGAAACAGTGTCTGAGGGAAGAAACTCATCTAACTGATAATTTTTTTTTTTTTTTTTAAAAGAAAACCCACAATGCTAACACTGAGCCTCTAAATTAGCAACGAGCGAAAAATGCTAACAAATTACTGCACCGAAAATCACTCACAAAACCTTATTATTTATCTCTTCTCCACATCCATGACATCGATTCACATCGTGAGGTGACACAGAATCGATGGGTTATTATCACTGAATTATACGAATTCGCGACGTTATAAACAAAAACAGACATCAAAACAGGTGACGCTAGGTAGCTAAAAATGCTAACATTTTTACCGTGGCTCTGTAGTCTCTCCAAAGTGGTCTTCAATGGCATTAAAATGATAAAAACGCTGCTGAAGTTAATCCATAGGTTAATCCAATGTGTCTGTGTCCCTTTGAAATGATTTCTGATAATCCATAAGCATTAAAACTGCTTTTCCGTTTCCAGATGTCAGAGCTAGACTGTAGCTTCACTCTAATGCAAAATTACATGCGCAAAGCCCCCACCTTTTTGTTTCACAATGAGTGTGTGTGGGGGACTCCCCCTTCGATTCTATTGGCTCTAACGGTCAGAAAGAGGTGTCAACCATCAAAATCGACCAATGGGTTCCAGAGATATGAAAAGAAAACCATTTCCACCCAAATCACCTCAGAGGTGGAGTGTTTTTTGCTAAATCTCTCTAAAAAGGTCAAATGTCACTTGTTTTGCATCAATCTTGATACAGGGTACTTATTATATGTTGTACTTTGGATTCCTAAAGCTTTTAGTCTACTAACCCATCATCCAAGGGTAGTTTTCACTATAAGTAAAAAAAAATTTTTGGACGGACACTATAATTTCCAGTTTTTTACTATGTAAAATCTGAATTTTCTTTAAAATAAAAAACATCTATATTGATTCTGACTTTTCTACATCCAACTCACAGATGTATCATTACTTTGAGAAAAAAGATTATTAATTGAACCCTTTTAGAAGGGAAGATATGGTCATTTGTTCTGGGAATGTCATTTTCGAGCCTGAGACCTGAAAAACAGGCTCAGGGCTAAACAGGTTAATTAAGTGTGTAATGAAGCTGTAACTAGTGGCAAAGTCCTATTACGGTACCTGAAGCCACTAATACAAATAATAACGGAGGCTTAACCTTCACACCCCCTCAGAGTTGGAATTGGCCCACATAGTACACATTGATACCCGATTTTTCCACAGAACCGGCAAGCAACTAATATATTGTTTGAGTTTGATTAAATGGTGTTTGAGTTATCAGCTAACTAAACTCTTACATTTTTGGAGAGAAATTAAATTAAATCAAAAAAAGTTTGGCAGCAGCACTGTTTTGCCCTGAGGGACTTTCTCACCCTGCACAGTATGATCACATGTCATCAGATAACAGAAGAATGTGCCTCTTTTCCCTCCAACAGACTATTGACTTCTACAAACTGGTCATAGAGGGGACTGATATGGGAGGGCGACCCGGGGGGAAAACGGGGACAGGAACAGTGGAGATCAGACTCCTGGACATCAATGACAACCTCCCCACCCTGGAAAAATCTGAGGTACACACACACACACACACACACACACACACACACACACACACACACACACACACACACACACACACACACACACACACACACACACACACACACACACACACACACACACACACACACACCCCAACAGGATTAAAGAAGCATTTTTAAACGCATGGTTAACAGGGTAAAAGAAAACAAACAAAAACACGTTTACTTTGGGATGGTCATTTTGCCAATCCTATAACTTAAATGCTGTGCAGGTAAAAGCTGTTTGAGGGTTAGGAAGCAGTATCCTGCCAGAAATGCAGGGATTGATTGAAAAGCAAAGAACGGACATGACCAGAACATATGCCCGAGGGAAACAGGGGAATAATGACACCTGGTACAGGTTGGGGCGAAACTGGGAAATATCTTAGCTTATCTGTCGTTTGAGTAATGTTGTCGGTGTACTACCTTAAATTGGATTAATCTGTGTCTAAAACAGAAAGAGAAAGTGTGAATACATGAAACAATGTTTTTCCAGGCGCCCTCTGAGATAGAATCTCCAATATCCCCTTCCCATGCTTCTTTAGTTGTATCCCATGTGTGAGGGCAGCTATTCAGAATGATTGTACATGTTTTTGACACCGCCCCTTTATCGAAAGGATTCACATTAAGAACTGAATAAGCAAAATATTTAGAGCAGCGGCATTGGCATTGCAAGTGGGCCGCCAAAGTTTTCATTTCATACAGGTTAAAGACACAAACATGGACATAACAATAACATATAGGAGATTAAATTCCCATCTCAGACAAAAACAAAACAAAATCAGAAGAAATAAAGATACAGTCAGTAGGATCACTTCAACATTTCACAAATAGGTTGACAACCAAAAACCACCAAAAACACAACGGTAAGCATATTTATTGTTCCTTTAATCCCACTCTTCGTTAGAGCTCATTATTTCCCATTTCATGACGTGTTGAGCCACCCTTTATAATCTACTCTTCAAACACCTTAAATTAAGATTACTCCTTGATTGACTTTTAAAAATATGTATTTTAGCCAGAAGAATAGTTGTATTTATTAACTGTGTGCAGTCTTCATCTAAAAGCCCAAATAAAATATTAAAGGGTGTAAATGTAAATTCAATATTTGCCGCCAAATAATTTGCAAAATATTATGATTTGTGTGGAAACATTTTCATTATTACTATTTTTTTTATTCTAACCTCCTTTACTTTCTCTTTCTTGATCCTCCTTAGTCATTACAGTCCTTGACGGTCTGTTCTACTGGATTTACAACGTGTCACATGTTCTGAATTGACCAATCAGAACTTTATTTAGCCTCCGTATTACTATGGTTGAATGTGGGCCGTGAAAAAAAATGTGATTCTTAACCTGTTACGCACCTTCCGCCCGGTACCGGGCGGATAAACGCGTCATTTGCAGGAAACAACGTCTAAGGAATCTTAATATTGAATAAAACTATGAATGTGTTATATCCATGTAACGAGAAGAAACTCAGCTAACTGATCTTTTTAATTTTAATTTTCAAAAAAAAAACACAATGCTAGCACTCAGCCTCTGAATTAGCCACGTGCGAAAAAATGTAACCTAAAACGGCACTTAAACTCACTCATAACTCCCTTATTACTTATCCTAGATGCACAACCAACCACTGGTTTTTGGTGTCCTGGAGACACTGAATCTAGTGGTGCCCTCCTCAACACTCAGTGATAAACATTCGCGACGCTATAAACGAAAGCGTACATCATAACATGTGGAGCTAAGTAGCTAGAAACGCTAACATGGCTTACCTTGGTCAAAACTGGTCTTCAATGGCATTTAAACGATAAAAAAACGATACTGCAGTTAATCCATAGGTTCATCCTATGGATCTGTGTCCTCTTTGAAATGATTTCTGATAATCCATAAGCAATAAAACGGATTTTTAGTTTCCAAACTCCAGAAGGAGAAAATCTGCAAATCTAGTTTCAGTTCTAAACGCGCAGCCCCCACCTTTTCTCTTTACAATGAGTGTGTGTGTGGGCCTCCCCCTTCGATTCTATTGGCTCTAACGGTCAGAAAGGTGTGTCAACAATCCAAATTGACCAAGGGGGGCCAGAGATAGGTCAAATCCACCCAAATGACCCCAGAAGTGTTTTTTTTTTGGCTAAATCTCTCTAAAAGGTCAAATTTCACTTGTTTTGCATCAATCTTGATACAGGGTACTTATTATATGTTGTACTTTGGATTCCTAAAGCTTTTACTCTACTAACCCATCGTCCAAGGGTAGTTTTCACTATCTGTAAAAAATAATTTTTGGACGGACACTATAATTTACAGTTTTTTACTATGTAAAATCTGAATTTTCTTTAAAATAAAAAACATTTATATTGATTCTGACACTTCTACATCCAACTCACAGATGTAACCTTGCTTTGATAAAAGAAATTATTCATATAACCCTTTTAGAAGTTAAGTTGTAGTCATTTGTTTTGGGCATGTCATTTTCGAGCCTGAAACATGAAAAACAGGCTCGGTGCTTAACAGGTTAAGTGGGCCCTGAGTTGAACAAAGTTGGGAACCGCTGCTTTGGAAGCTGGACATGGATATACTGGAAAAAGTGCACCTATCTAGATCATTCTTGGTATGTTCCAAGATAGATTTGTAATTTTACCTAAAAAGAGCCTTAACTGAAACCGCTATCTCAATACCCAAGTAAGTACATTTGTCATTTTCAATCCTAAAGAGCAGATGATCATAATTCTCCTGTCCTTTTGAGGAATAACTGGAGATTTTGACAAATGTATGTTGTACCCTGAAATGCTCCCAAATCTCCGTAATAAGGAGAGAAGAAATAGCATGCTTTCTATTGGGTCTAATATTTGCAAAAGCAGGTAATCCGCGCATAGAGATGTTTTATGAATCATGTCACCTCCGGAAAAACCCCTTAATCCTGTTGTCCAATCTGATAGCAATCCCTAATTCAAGATTCAAAGGTTTTAATGTCATATGCACATAAGTTACAGTGTAGAAATAGCAGTACAAATCTTATGTCCCAAGCTTCTCCAACAATGCAACATAGTTATATAAAACATATGAAATACGGTTATTACAGTGATAACTATATAGATAAATAAATAGTAAAATGACAACAGATGAATGGTTATGGAGGCACTTAACAGAGCTCAGGCGTTTAGCAGTCTTATTGCCTGTGGGATAAAACTATCCCTGAGTCTGGTGGTTATAGTCCTGATGCTGCGGTATCACCTGCCAGACGGCAGCACAGTTTGTGGCTGGGGGTCTATTGTAATAGTAATAGGTTTCCTCGCACTTCGTGCTAGGACACCACTGGGTTTTGTTAAACGGAAAGACACAGAGCTGACATTAAGACTTTCGCACATACTATAGATCTTATGTTTTTAATCATGTTCTGTTTGCAGTACGATGGGGAAGTGGAGGAAAATGTTGCCAATGTAGTTGTGATGAGAATCAAAGCTCTGGATAAAGACCTTCCATACTCAGAAAACTGGCTGACTGTCTTCACAATCGCCACAGGAAATGAGGATAATCTGTTTTCAATTGAGACAGACAAGGAAACCAATGAGGGCGTCTTGAAGCTGATTAAGGTATTTATGTGACTTTAAAACCATTGTTCTTTATTTATCACACTTACTATAACTTTTGTTGAGTGGTGCCCTAAAATTAGCTTGCTGCTTCATATCATCTCTTGTCCTCTCTTTTTATCTACTCTACAATCCGGACCAAACAGCCTGTGGATTTTGAGGAACTCCAGAATCTTGAGCTTGGCCTGATCATTGAGAATGAAACTCCTTTTGTGGATGGTGATCCAATAGTAATGGATGTGGGCGTCCAGATTGGAGAGGGTAATCCTATGGCAACTGGAGGTGGAGGTGGAGGTGGAGGCGGCGGCGGAGGTGGAGGCGGAGGTGGAGGCGGAGGCGGAGTTGGCGGCGGAGGCGGAGGCGGAGGCGGAGTTGGCGGCGGAGGCGGAGGTGGAGCTGGTGGCGGAGGTGGATCTGGAGCTGGTGGCGGAGGTGGATCTGGAAGTGGAGGTGGAGGTGGAGGTGGAGGTGGATCTGGAAGTGGAGGTGGAGGTGGAGGTGGAGCGGGACCTGGTGTGGGACCTGGAGTGGGTCCTGCACCTGGGGTTAAGCCGGGTCGTGGGCCTGGAGGAGTTTATGTATCCAAGCAAGGTGTCAAACCAGGAACAAAGCCTAAGCCAAGTGCACCGGCAAAGAGCTATCCAATTAAGATAGCAGTGAAAAATGTTCCAGAGGGTCCAAAATTCAGACCCAAGACCAAGAATGTTCCTGTATCAGAAGATCCAAAGAAGGTACCTATAGATGGAGTGATCACAGTGTTTGCTGCTGTCGATCCAGACACAGGGCTACCAGCTGAAGACGTCACGTAAGTCATGCTGTAGGTAACAGCACTTTTAGGTTTAGGCACTAAGAGGTTGTACTTAGGCACTGATTGTAAAGTCATACTTAGGCCCTGATTTTGGTAACATTTAGCATGTTTACCATCGTAGTTCAGCAATTTATCATGCGCTAATTAGCGGTATCACAAATTAAAGCTGCTAGGAAGGGGGCGCAACTAGTTCAGTCTGTAGGGCACCAGCAGTGCGCCGAAAAACTGGCAGCCTGTTTGCTCGGAAACCTCTCCATAACAGTAAAATCGTAGTGTTTGCATTTGTATATATATGTAGTAATGTATAGTTCCTGTCCTGTGCCTGTGTATATTGTACTGTGTATACTTGCAGACGAGATGAGAGAGGCTAGTTCAAAGTACTGCATCTTTTACATGAAATGTTCAATAACTGTTTTGTCTCTAACTGTTACTTTAATCAAATAACTTATTTGGTTTACTGTATTAATACTTTTCTTAATTGTTTGAATTTTTTCCCTACAAATTTAATGTGATCCAGTTATGCCAAAGGCATAGATCCAGAGAACTGGTTTACCATCAATGAAGAAACAGCTGAGGTTAAACTCCGCAAAGCACCGGATAGAGAGTCACCTTTTGTGGTGAATGGTACCTACATTGCCACAGTTCTGGTCATCACCAATGGTAATCAAAAATATTTATTTTATAATTCTTTTTTTTTGGCTTCTTGATTCATTTCTGTTTGATCACGCTCTGCCTACCCTGCTGAAGGACACTAAATAATACAATCGTTTTCTTTGGATATTAAGTTAATTAACACTACAAACCGGTAATTTATTACCCCACAGCATTTTTCAAATATGTATAAAAATGGGATCATTTATCAGCTAGAGAACTACAATCAGCTGTATGACGCTGCGCTAAAGTTTGGCAGGTTGTAATAGCATGGGCTCAAACTAGCAAGATTTGATAGATATGGACAGAGAACACCTCCCTCACCCATATTGGTTACAAATAATTGAAATGGTTAGTTTCTCGCCGGTTTCTAAGTGACTGAATTATGTAAGGGATAATGTGCAGCGATGATCAAGCTCCGTGATCACCCTGTTTGGCAAGGGTGTCCAAACTTTTTCACAGAGGGCCACATATAGAAAAATATACGAAGGGCTGGGCCACTCGCTAGAAGTGAGCTATATTGCCTCTGAAGTTCAATTATAAATGAGCAAAATCAAATGTAGGTAAGTTATGCTCTCCATTGACTTTATTACAAAAAGTGTTTAGCTCATTCCTTAAAACAGAAGCCTCAGATTGATTATAATAAGGGGAAACAGGAAGTGTATATAACAAGCTTGTTATGTAAATAAGTTATTGGGCTTTCTTATCAACCTAGATTTGTTCGAAAATGTTTCAAACTTTAATTGACTGAATTTATTGGAAAGGTGGGCTTATTAACACATGAATACTACTGTGTGATATATTTTTACATACATATTTAAGAAGCAAAATATAAGACAAGCACAGGTTTCATTTGTGGGCCATATTCCATTATACTTTTTGAATTTCTGAGAGCTGCTTCAAAATGGCCCGCGGGCCGCATTTGGCCCCCGGGCCGTAGTTTGGACACCCCTGCTGTATGGTGTTCTTTTTCCAATAATGACTGCCTTGCTGCACATATCCTTATTACACAGCCACATTATTTTATTGACGTGAAAATTATCGTATTGCTTCCGCTAAGAAAATAAAATTCTATTCAATGGCGCACCAATGGTTTAGGGTTCCACCAATGGCTGGAACTCCGACAACATCAAGTGAATTTAAAATGAAGGCAGCTCTGATTGATGTTTTCTGTGACTGTCCAAGTCTGTTCACAGTTCATTTTCCACAAACAAGTCCTGAAACACTATAGAGCCCATACCGTGTTCCTGTTAGTGTTTACTTCCTGTCTGTCTGCTTCTGTTGATTTATCTGACATCCAGCGCTCCGTCTTTTAACCTCTTTTCCTTTCTCTCTCAATCCTCCTTAGCAACGGTCGTTTTAGTGCTTAACAGTGGTCTGTTTTACTGTCATATTGACCTCTGAAATGTCCTAATTGACCAATCGAGAATTCAACTAAGCCATGTAATAATACTTTATAACACTTCATTAAAGAGCTTACAAACTGTTTGGCAAGTAAATGTTGATAAAGCTGGCAACGCTATGCAAAATAATAGCAATTACACTCTAAACTGAATAAAACAACACAAAATAAGGCAATGTGGAAGTGCCTTAGAGCAGGCAAAGCTACAATAGGTGGATTTTATAATTTGGTTTATTATTGTTTGTTGGTGTAACCCCCAGTTTAATGATTATGTATAAAATGTCATTCAACATTTTGATAGGTTATATAAACTGATGCAATTTTTAAGTTAATAAACCTTAAATAGTTATTTTGTTAAGTCCTACTTATTATAGGAGAAGTGAAGGGAAATTTAACAACTTAACCTTATCGAGAATGACATTTCTTGGTAAAAAGGACACCCGCGTTTTTTAAGAGTAATGAAATATTGGCGGGTTCTACTGTTAACATAGTTGCCAGAGGTAATTAAATGAACAACACAGATGCCAAAACTATTTTGTGACTCAACATGTGTCAGCAATGGAATGACAAGAAGCCCAGGGGCGAAAAACAAACCTAATTAAAAAACACTGGCAACATTACAAAAACACTATTTAACTTAGGGTTTATACTGGGACATTGTGGTAATATTGGGATGTGCCCAGTTTGTGTGCTGTTGGATTTACTAAACTGTTGTCATCCTCAGACATGCCATCAAAGACCGCTACAGGAACAATAGCCATTCAAGTCCTTGACTCCAACGACCACTGTCCCACTCTGACCACCACCCACAGCACCCAGTGCACTGATGAAACAACTGTCTATGTTACTGCATTTGATGAGGATGCTAATCCCAACGGGGCTCCATTCACATTCAGAGTCATACCTGATGGAACACGAGGCAGCTGGGACGTAGAAGTCGTCAATGGTAAGGAAATGTGAAAAGCAGCACGAGCCAGAAGCCAAAAACAGATTCCATCGTGGTCTATTCTTGTTTAATTTTTGTGATTATTTTATTTTTATCAAGCGCTTGTTACTGTGTAATTGTTGAAGATGTTGTTTAAATCAGGGGTTCCCAACCTTTATTGTGCCAAGGACCAGATACATTAAAAAAAAATCGCGGACCGGTTGTCAATTTTAACTGATTTTAATATTTACTCACCACCAGCAGGTAGCAACAGAGGCTAATTGTATGTAACAGCCTGAACAAATACTAGAACAATATGCATCCAAAACATATTAACAAAGTTTAAAAAATAACCGGTGTCGTTTTTTGGTTTTTCGGAAAACCAAAAAACCGACGTTATTCAGTTTTTTAACCAAAACGGGAAAACAGATAAATCAACGTTTTGGTTTTGTTTGTATGATTTACGGATAATCCAGTGAATTCTGGGAAAACGAGGAGAAGGTGCATTATGAAGGAGATGTCCGGTCGCCAGGGTGTGTTTGTGTGTGTGTGTGTGTGTGTGTGTGTGTGTGTGTGTGTGTGTGTGTGTGTGTGTGTGTGTGTGTGTGTGTGTGTGTGTGTGTGTGTGTGACACTGGCATTTGTTTTCAGAAGATATTATAATAGTGTTGTTCGTTCCGGTGCACTCCGACAGCATTTAGCACTACATCGAGATTAAGATTAAACTAATTTATTTTGGGAACAGCTGCATATATGGAGTTAGCCATATGTGTGTAAATTACTGTTCATAAACATTTGAAAACAAATGCCGGTGTCGGACAGACACAAACACACCGAACACACAGAGCTGAGCTGAGCAGAGCACATACACACACACATCATGCGCCTTGGTGACTGACAGGACATCTCCTTCATAAAACTAATAAAAGGGGGAGTAATCGGGCAGTTCGATGTGTGTAGAGATGTGTGTAGAGGTGTGTGTGGTTAACACGTAGCAGCCTGCAGTCACTCTTAAGCTGTTCTGATGAAGTTAAACACAGCGAATGCGGTGCGTAAAAAGGCACAGCTCTTTACGCGCTGGTGCTGCTCTTCTCAGAGGCGGAGTCCCACTGCCTCCTGATGTTGCAGCCATTTCACGAAGTGAAGGAGGTTTTCCTTCTATAAAACAGCTGCGGGCAGCAGATACCGTGAGAGTCCCGGACATTAATTCATAGATCAAGGCAGACTGGTTTACTTTCCTGTTTTGCCAATCCGGTGCTTATTAAACACTTTTTGAAAAAAATATTATGATAAAATATTTTTGATATATTTATAATTCTGCAAATATTACGATAAACTCACAGCTATTTCGCGGCCCGGCAGTAACACCGCCGCGGCCCGGTACCAGTCCGCGGACCGGGGGTTGGGAACCCCTGGTTTAAATTACCCTTACTGAGTTTTTCTTTAAATCTTAACGAAAATGTAACGAAAATAGGTTGAAAAAATGTCCCTGATATTTTCATTGTGTTTTATTGATTAAACTGCATTCAGTTAGAAATGTCACATTGGTATCACAGTATTTTTAGAGATATTTCTGAAGTTACGAGTAAAAGTAATAATGATAATACTGTGTTATTTGACAGTGCTTTGTCCTTTGTTGTCAACAGAGACCAGTGCCGCGCTTCACTTTCGTGATACGCTCTGGCCTGGCTTATATGAAGTTCAGGTGGAGGTGTTGGATGCTCAGGGTCTGTCATGCCCGACCAATGACATTTTTACCGTGGACGTTTGTACCTGTGTGGAAACAAATGACTGCAGGTTAAAGAGCTCAGTTGAAGAAGAAGGAGGAGAAGGAACATCTTCAACTGAGCTCTCTGCCCCAGCCATCGGCCTCCTGCTAACAGCAATGTGCTTATTCCTGTGTAAGTTGAGCTTTAACCAACGCCTACATTACATCTCATTAGGGATTATTATAGTGGCTTGATACCACTTTTTCATGTAACTAAGCTGTTATGAATAACACATTTGTATTCATACTTTTTGCTTAATCTGCCTTCTAAAATTCATCAGACTCAGTTATGCATTACAGCTGATCTAAAAACATATTTTTACACATACACCTTTCAGCTGATTTCTGGATTGGTCATTGTGCAAAAGTTTAAATCTGAGTATTGAACGAAACAAAGGAATTATAAGTGTAAAATACTTTACAGACTGAAACCAATGCAGAGTTTCAGATTAGTTCATCTCTACACATTATTACCACATAAAGACTAATCTCCAGTTTGCAACAAATATTTTACTTTTTTTAATTAATAATTTCTGTTTAGAGTGTAGCTACAGAACAAATAAAATGTTCTACAGGTAATTACTGCATTTCCAGCTATACTGTGATGATGTCAAACTTTAACTCAACGTAACTTGGCTTGACATTGAACTGAATGTTGTGCTTCTCTCTGCAGTTATTCCTCTTCTCATGCTGTTCTGTCAGTGTGGAGCAGAACCTTTTCCTGACAGTTTTCGTGACATGCCATGGGAGACCAAAGAACAACTCATATCTTACCACACTGAATGCAGAGGCGAGGATAAGGTTGGTTTGCAATATTGTTTTAGTTTTTATGGGAATAAAAGGATACATCAACTTCTTGTTTCTAGTTTATCAATACATAGAATCAGACATTATCCAGACATTTTTAATAAATTTAAATTAAAAACTGAAAATTAAAGATAATCTGTGATTTTATGGTTTGGACTCTCATTACGTTAAACCTATATGCTTTTTTGATACCACACTCAGATTGGAGAATTCAAACCATACATCATATGTATTGATAGGTAACATTGTCTTTCCTCTGTTCTTTTTTAGGAAGTACCACTTCATAGTATACCTGCCATGTTGGCTTCCCAAATGAAAGTGGGGGCAGCCCCAGGAACACACTTCAATGGCACTACTACACAAATCAGAGGAACTAACCAGACAACTACAATATATGATGAATATGAGCAGAATTATCAGGACACCAAGCAAAGTGGGATGGAGTTTGACAATACCAGCAGGTTTTCAAGAGAATGGTTCGACCATGTTGATAGCAGTGGTACAATCAACAGAAAAACACAGTATGCGGATATAGCCTTATCTGACGATTTCCTCAATGAATACTACTCACAGGTACTTTGTTAGACTTGCATACAGCTGTTTTTTCTAATTTAATCATATCTTCAAAGATTATTGACACCAGTGTCTGTGCTATTCCTTCACCTTAAACAGAAAGCGATGTGTGCTTTGCCTGCGAAGGACTGTTCTTTGGAGTATCATTTTATGGGCCAGGGTTCCTCTGCTGGATCGGTGGGCTGCCCCAGCCTTCTTGAGACTGACAACGACCTGCAATTCCTTGATGACCTTGGGCCAAAATTCAAGACTCTGTCTGACATCTGTTCCCCTCCTAAACCAAAACCCAAACCTTCCCTGACACACAACATAGTAGGGGCTGTTAAAACCACAGTTAATCTGGTTGAACCTGAGGTTAGGCCCAATGTTGAGCAAATGGTTGAAACAGAGCATACTGATGTCAACAAAGAGACAGTCATGTCATCTACTAACATCTCCAAATCATCCGTCAATACTGTAAGCACTGCCCATCAATACATGACACTTCCTAACTCTAAGGTTACTAACATCAGTCATTCCACCACTCTGCCCCCTCAAGCTCAATATTCTGCCACTCTGCCCCCTCAAGCTCATTATTCTGCCACTCTGCCCCCTCAAGCTCATACAGTTTTCATACAGCCGCAGCCAGTTTATTACAACACCAGCCCTGTACCACAGCCCATGCACTATGTAGTTCAACCACAGCTACAGAACATGGTAATGATGGTGGAGGGAGCCCATGGCTTTTATGTAGTGAGGGGAACCCAGAGTCCTTCTTCAGGACTCGTAATGAGTGGATCCCAAGGCTCTCCTCCTGGGCTAGTGATTCAGGGCATTGAGGGCCCAAAAAGCCCTGCCAGTCCAGTTAGCCCCACCTTCTTTCTACCTAGTAGTCCAGGTGTGTCTGCAGGCTCAGGCCCTGTAAAGGGTTGGAAAATTAAAGGGCCAAATCCTGATGGTAAATGTAAGCTGGTTAAGAACAAGAGTAGACCAGATGATGCAGGTGAGGTTGACCCAGGCTCATCTCAGGGCAATTTGCCCAGATGTGCAATCCTGGTAAAAGAGGCTGCTCCCCCTCAGGGGGTGTTAGACCTAGCAGCCCAGGGGAGTGTGTTGTGGCGATCCAGTACTCACACAACAGGAAAGAATGAAACAGAGAGGAATCAATGAAACACAAACACAGAAATAGTTGAGATTAATCATTATTATTTAGTTGCGCACCACCAAACAACAATGGGGAAACATTACCTTGCTTCAACAGCAACCAATCGCAGAAATGCTCCCACGAACAGAAAGATCTCATGTCCTTTATGCATGCAAAACACACACGAACATACACTTGAAACAGCATACGTGGCAGAGATGTTCCAACCTTATACAGTCATACATGTTGCAACCTCTGAGTTCTACATGATCCCAGAGTTCATGACCTTATTTAGCACCTACCACACATCCCAATGTATACAACTGCTGGTGAAAAGTTTCAGCTGGTTGCCTATATATGGGCCATTTTCCAGCAAACCAAATGAACAACACACATTCCACTATACTATAGCTTATTATAACCATGTGACATTAATGAATATAGCAGAAATACGCTGTAAGAAACATTCTGCTATAACAAGTGTGTATGGCATTCTGCCAGGACACGCTGTTGCAAAGAGGGGGGGTGCTGTTGCAGTAAATAGCAATTTGGGGCAAACATGGGTTGGGCAGCCAGGAGTGATGGGGTTAGTGCCGGTAACAGCTTTTGGAATTGGTGTCGGGAAACCAGGAATGGGAATGGCACATGTGAAACCAGAAGTCAGACAGGTTGGAATGTGGCAACCTGAGATGACTCAAGTTGGCATTAGGCAGGTCAGTACAAACCAGTACCAAGAAATTACGCAGTTGCAGCAAACAGCAGATACCAGTGGTATTCTAAAAGTATCAGGAATTAATTCACCAAAGGAAGACAAGACTACTGCAGTTGTAAATACCATAATTTCAGTTGAAACAGATAAAACCCAGCCATCAAACGAAGAGGTTTTGAAAAAGAAAGTGTTGAAGGATACGGCCCAGAACATGCATTATAATATAATTGAAGAAAAACATGATGAAATCACCTACACATCAATATGTGACAAAACATCAGAGGATGAAGAGCCTGGTAGGATGGTCCAAATTTTGCAATCTGACAAAGTGGCACGGAAAGTAGGTGGTCAAATTGATGATATTTTGCCCAATGATTTTGATATAATTACTGATGCTCCAACAAACACATTTACAGATATGGTTAATCAAACAAAAGAATCCAGTGAGCCACAACAAAATGCAGAGGAAGGAGAATCAGAACAGCAAGAATATAATTTTCCTGCTCAAGGTCTTTCAAATAAAGATATAACTCTAGTCACTCAAATGCCAACCACAGAAGTGTGCCAGCCAGGATCGCATGCCATTGATTTAGTTAATACAGAAAGAGAGAATATAGAGACATCAACAATTCCCCAAGCAGAGGAATGCTCTCCTACTTTAGACAATATCAACATTGTAGAAGATCAAATACAAGATATCACAGAAGTAAATGTGGGCAGGAGGGAAGATGCATCTTTGAAAGAAGAAGAATTTGAAGAAGGAAAAGCTGTTGATCTCACCATAGTTGAAGGTCCAGAGGACAAAAGTCAGGAAGTTGGTTCAGAAGACCAAATTGCCAGGGATCTGGAGGAGGATGTATTTTCAGTGGAGGAAGTTGTTTCAGACATAGAAACAGATCAGGCCATTGAAACCTCTGATAGTATTCAGGAAAACGTGAATATGGAGGAAATGACTACCAACACATGAAGACATTAAGACTGAGGAAGAGCAACTGTCATATTGTTATCGGGGACTCTGTATTATGGATGACAAATTGTTCGCAACTCTTTCAAATGAGTTTTCAGAAGTGACTCTGAAAGCGTCTATAGAAAGGTTTAACCTTGATCAAGAATCAGTGCCAGTTCCACAGTATGGTCACAATAAAGGGATTGTGATAGACAAACGTCATTCAAAGACAGATAGTGCTGATGCTGAAGCAATAACATCATCCCAAACGGTCAGCATTGTTTTTACGAGCCCACAATGTTGTTGAAGAAGAGCTGTCACCTGTACATCAAATCTCAGATGAAGACAGTGAAAAGGAAGATGCATTGAACCTAGTTAATCAAGTGGAGTATAAGCTCATCTCAGATGACAGTGTGATTGATGGAGGGAAAGAGGCACCATTCTTACAACAAAACAAATGTATTTTTTAATTCCAAGATGAAGAGAGTGAAAGAGATGCACCGGGTACAAGTTCTCACGTAGAGGAAGAAAAGAGGAAGTCAAAAAGCAGAGATGAAGCAGGTGGCAGCATTGTCCAAAGTGATTGAAACTCTAGAAATACCTTTTGAGGTTACTACACATAAAGTCTTGCAAGGGGTTGACTCTTCTCAAATAGAAGACATACCTTTTGACCGTGATTAGAGACACTATTGTGTTGGTTAATCATTAGTGATGGGTACTTACATCGAGAATTGATATGATATTGTTACATCTTCTGATCAAATTAGATTGTTCAGGGTGATAACAGGACAGGTTTCTATGTCCATAAGATTTTTGAATCTGGACAAGCATCTAAGGGTGAAACAGTTTAACGCATTCCTTTTAGAATTAAAAAGGGGGAGGTTGGGATCTACCTTTGGGGCAATGCAGAGGGTACTTTTAGGTGCCGGGTTCAGAACTTGGATGAGCCTCGATTTGAAACAGCCCATAGATGATAGATATTATAGATAGTTAGTATTATGGAAGGAAAGAGTGTGTTTTTGCTCATGAATTTGGTCGTCACCAATTGTTGGGGGCTTGGCTTGGTCAGAGTCCAAGGCTGTTTTTTCGGCCACAGTCCTGTTGGCTACATGTTTAACAGGGTCAGACAATTCAGAGTTGGGACCTGAGGCTTACATTCAGGCCTTATTTTAGGAAAGTGATCACAACAAAGTAATTGCTTGATACAGTATATTGTTGCTGCTTAACTGATGACAGGGAATGTCCCGTCAGGCCCTAACATCAGATTTTAGCTTTTTGTTGCAGTGGCAGAAAGTAGAGCAAATAACGTGTTAAGGCCAACACCCATTCAAAAATGTCACCACATATGCAAACTATGTGAGCCCAGACAATAGTAGTGTCTTGATAACCTGACCTAGATAGCTTGAACTAGCAATGATTTAAGTTATCTGTTGTAATTCCAATTGTTGATGTGCGTCAAAAATGTAAAAAAGCACCATCCATTTTACTATTGCATAACAGCCTTTATTATTTTTGTACTGATAGGGTAAGTAGGCTGTGTTTTTCCACAGTTTTAATCTTATTCACACACCTGCATTCTATACATTTATATACATTGTTTTAAAAATACTTAAAAAAACAGGCACCTCAGAAAAAACTTTCAAACACTTTTATTGCGACACTTTTGAATGACGGTGTGTGAATCAGAACCATAGCCTGTAAATATAATCATGCCAAAGAAGGTTGTTGAAAGTAACCTATCAGTGGAGGAAGATGGTGTTGTCTCTTGAAGCCCCGTCTACAAAGTCACATTTGTGCATCTGGAGCAGAAATGCTCCTTTATAACTGTTCTCTGTGAGCTCGTATCAAGTGCACCCACGTGGTTTTCATGTGCGTTTTCTTATAAATAAATACCTTCTCTTCCCTTTACTTTGTAAATACCTGCATAATGTATCTTTCTTTATCTTTCATCTTCACTATATAACCATGTTTTTTGTTAAAGCCATCTATTCTAAGATTCTTTGAGGTACTAACTACTAACAGAGGGTGTTCAACTGGTTGAAAAATAAGAAGAAATACTAATATTTATCTACAACTGAAAGACTATTAAAAGTATGTTGGTGAATGTAATCCTCTCACAACTACATTAATTATTAAAATATATTCAATGTATAAAACTAATAATCAGGATTGCTGAATACTGTCATCATTGTATTTAAGTCAGTTAATGCAATATAACAATATGGTGTAGTCATGTATACATTAAAGACATATATGAATTGTTGTAATTTCTAAATACATTGCCTTTTTGTATTAACCTGTTAAGCCCCATCCCCCCGATACCGGGGGGAAAAACGCGTCATCTGCAGGAACAACCCAGTCTCACGGCATTTCGTGTTATAGTCACGACATTTAATCTATTGATTCGTGTTCACCAACACGATTTTCCCCTTTTTTTCGTCTCACACAGAACGATTTTAAAAGCAATGTATTTCTATTGGTAGTATGTTTCGTGCCTGCAACACGTCTTTTTGTCTGGTCGGGTCTTGGAAGACCGGAAGCTGTGGGGTTCATAAAAACATCTCCTTACTCCCTCTTAGGTGCCTTACAAACAATGGACGTCCGCTCTCGGGAGCGTCGGAGTGGTGCGGTCACCCTAAGTGACAGACCTAAAGTATCCGGGATTCAGGCATCTTCCCTGGCTTGTACATTTTTGGTGATGCGCCCTGGAGGTATCAGACTATTTTAAACAACTTTTCCCCGCCTTTCAAACACTTATTCCGGGATTTTAGCCAGTCATTTTGCACAAAATCATTTAACATTGACAGTCTCCTGAAAAAGCACATATTCTGTGCATTTTCAGGAAAGCGTCAATGTTAAATGATTTCGTGCAAAATGACTGTCTAAAACTCTCTTCCAGACATTTAAAAATACTTTCCCAGACCATTTAAACATTATTTCTGGCTTGTAAAGTAAAGTGCAGTTATGCGCCCTGGAGATATTATACTATTTCAAATAACTTTTCCCCTCATTTCAAACACTTATTCCTGGGTACAAGTGTTATATTTCTTCCCCCTGGGTGTGTGTGAGACAAGTGAAGTGAGTCAGCCTGCCAACAAGCAGCAGTGTGCTGTCATTTGAAACATGTTATCCCCACTGTTTAACACACTTTTACCTGTGTTTTGAAGACTCTTTCCTGGGTCAATGTGTGCTCTTTCACCCCCCTGGGTGTGTGTGAGACAAGTGAAGTGAGTCAGCCTGCCAACAAGCAGCAGTGTGCTGTCATTTGAAACATGTTACCCCACTGTTTAACACACTTTACCTGTGTTTTGAAGACTCTTTCCTGGGTCAATGTGTGCACCAATGTGTCCTCTTTCTCCCCCCCTGGGTGTGTGTGAGACAAGTGAAGTGAGTCAGCCTGCCAACAAGCAGCAGTGTGCTGTCATTTGAAACATGTTACCCCACTGTTTAACACACTTTTACCTGTGTTTTGAAGACTCTTTCCTGGGTCAATGTGTGCTCTTTCACCCCCCTGGGTGTGTGTGAGACAAGTGAAGTGAGTCAGCCTGCCAACAAGCAGCAGTGTGCTGTCATTTGAAACATGTTCCCCGACCTTTTAACACACTTTTTACCCATGTTATTCGTCCTGGAGGTATCAGCCTATTTTAAACAACTTTTCCCCGCCTTTCAAACACTTATTCCGGGGTTTTAGTCAGTCATTTTGCGAGATATCATTTAACATTGACAGTCTCCTGAAAAAGCACATATTCTGTGCATTTTCAGGAAAGCGTCAATGTTAAATGATTTCGTGCAAAATGACTGTCTAAAACTCTCTTCCAGACATTTAAAAATACTTTCCCCGACCATTTAAACATTATTTCTGGCTTGTAAAGTGCAGTTATGCGCCCTGGAGATATTATACTATTTCAAACAACTTTTCCCCGCCTTTCAAACACTTATTCCTGGGTACAAGTGTTATATTTCTTCCCCCTGGGTGTGTGTGAGACAAGTGAAGTGAGTCAGCCTGCCAACAAGCAGCAGTGTGCTGTCATTTGAAACATGTTACCCCACTGTTTGACACATCTTTACCCACGTTTCGAGGACTCTTTCCTGGGTCAATGTGTGCTCCAATGTGCCCTCTTTCTCCCCCCTGGGTGTGTGTGAGACAAGTGAAGTGAGTCAGCCTGCCAACAAGCAGCAGTGTGCTGTCATTTGAAACATGTTCCCCGACCTTTTAACACACTTTTTACCCATGTTATGCATCCTGGAGGTATCAGCCTATTTTAAACAACTTTTCCCCGCCTTTCAAACACTTATTCCGGGGTTTTAGTCAGTCATTTTGCGAGATATCATTTAACATTGACAGTCTCCTGAAAAAGCACATATTCTGTGCATTTTCAGGAAAGCGTCAATGTTAAATGATTTCGTGCAAAATGACTGTCTAAAACTCTCTTCCAGACATTTAAAAATACTTTCCCAGACCATTTAAACATTATTTCTGGCTTGTAAAGTGCAGTTATGCGCCCTGGAGATATTATACTATTTCAAACAACTTTTCCCCGCCTTTCAAACACTTATTCCTGGGTACAAGTGTTATCTTTCCCCCCCTGGGTGTGTGTGAGACAAGTGAAGTGAGTCAGCCTGCCAACAAGCAGCAGTGTGCTGTCATTTGAAACATGTTCCCCGACCTTTTAACACACTTTTTACCCATGTTATGCGTCCTGGAGGTATCAGCCTATTTTAAACAACTTTTCCCCGCCTTTCAAACACTTATTCCGGGGTTTTAGCCAGTCATTTTGCACAAAATCATTTAACATTGACAGTCTCCTGAAAAAGCACATATTCTGTGCATTTTCAGGAAAGCGTCAATGTTAAATGATTTCGTGCAAAATGACTGTCTAAAACTCTCTTCCAGACATTTAAAAATACTTTCCCCGACCATTTAAACATTATTTCTGGCTTGTAAAGTGCAGTTATGCGCACTGGAGATATTATACTATTTCAAACAACTTTTCCCCTCATTTCAAACACTTATTCCTGGGTACAAGTGTTATATTTCTTCCCCCTGGGTGTGTGTGAGACAAGTGAAGTGAGTCAGCCTGCCAACAAGCAGCAGTGTGCTGTCATTTGAAACATGTTATCCCACTGTTTAACACACTTTTACCTGTGTTTTGAAGACTCTTTCCTGGGTCAATGTGTGCTCTTTCACCCCCCTGGGTGTGTGTGAGACAAGTGAAGTGAGTCAGCCTGCCAACAAGCAGCAGTGTGCTGTCATTTGAAACATGTTACCCCACTGTTTAACACACTTTTACCTGTGTTTTGAAGACTCTTTCCTGGGTCAATGTGTGCACCAATGTGTCCTCTTTCTCCCCCCTGGGTGTGTGTGAGACAAGTGAAGTGAGTCAGCCTGCCAACAAGCAGCAGTGTGCTGTCATTTGAAACATGTTATCCCACTGTTTAACACACTTTTACCTGTGTTTTGAAGACTCTTTCCTGGGTCAATGTGTGCTCTTTCACCCCCCCTGGGTGTGTGTGAGACAAGTGAAGTGAGTCAGCCTGCCAACAAGCAGCAGTGTGCTGTCATTTGAAACATGTTACCCCACTGTTTAACACACTTTTACCTGTGTTTTGAAGACTCTTTCCTGGGTCCAATGTGTGCTCTTTCACCCCCCTGGGTGTGTGTGAGACAAGTGAAGTGAGTCAGCCTGCCAACAAGCAGCAGTGTGCTGTCATTTGAAACATGTTACCCCACTGTTTAACACACTTTTACCTGTGTTTTGAAGACTCTTTCCTGGGTCAATGTGTGCACCAATGTGTCCTCTTTCTCCCCCCCTGGGTGTGTGTGAGACAAGTGAAGTGAGTCAGCCTGCCAACAAGCAGCAGTGTGCTGTCATTGAAACATGTTACCCCACTGTTTTAACACACTTTTACCTGTGTTTTGAAGACTCTTTCCTGGGTCAATGTGTGCTCTTTTCACCCCCCTGGGGTGGTGTGAGACAAGTGAAGTGAGTCAGCCTGCCAACAAGCAGCAGTGTGCTGTCATTTGAAACATGTTCCCCGACCTTTTAACACACTTTTTACCCATGTTATTCGTCCTGGAGGTATCAGCCTATTTTAAACAACTTTTCCCCGCCTTTCAAACACTTATTCCGGGGTTTTAGTCAGTCATTTTGCGAGATATCATTTAACATTGACAGTCTCCTGAAAAAGCACCATATTCTGTGCATTTTCAGGAAAGCGTCAATGTTAATGATTTCGTGCAAAATGACTGTCTAAAACTCTCTTCCAGACATTTAAAAATACTTTCCCAGACCATTTAAACATTATTTCTGGCTTGTAAAAGTGCAGTTATGCGCCCTGGAGATATTATACTATTTCAAACAACTTTTCCTCCCCGCCTTTCAAACACTTATTCCTGGGTACAAGTGTTATCTTCCCCCTGGGTGTGTGTGAGACAAGTGAAGTGAGTCAGCCTGCCAACAAGCAGCAGTGTGCTGTCATTTGAAACATGTTCCCCGACCTTTTAACACACTTTTTACCCATGTTATGCGTCCTGGAGGTATCAGCCTTTTTAAACAACTTTTCCCCGCCTTTCAAACACTTATTCCGGGGTTTTAGTCAGTCATTTTGCACAATATCATTTAACATTGACAGTCTCCTGAAAAAGCACATATTCTGTGCATTTTCAGGAAGCGTCAATGTTAAATGATTTCGTGCAAAAGACTGTCTAAAACTCTCTTCCAGACATTTAAAAATACTTTCCCCGACCATTTAAACATTATTTCTGGCTTGTAAAGTGCAGTTATTGCGCACTGGAGATATTATACTATTTCAAACAACTTTTCCCCTCATTTCAACACTTATTCCTGGGTACAAGTGTTATATTTCTTCCCCCTGGGTGTGTGTGAGACAAGTGAAGTGAGTCAGCC